AGCAAAGGGTCTGAATACTTATGACCATGTGATATTTCAGTTTTTCTTTTTTAATAAATCTGCAAAAATGTCAAAAAATCTGTGTTTTTCTGTCAATATGGGGTGCTGTGTGTACATTAATGAGGAAAAAAATGAACTTAAATGATTTTAGCATATGGCTGCAATATAACAAAGAGTGAAAAATTTAAGGGGGTCTGAATACTTTCCGTACCCACTGTATAGTGCTAGTTCGGACTCAGAATTATGCAGGACTCAGACTCAGGCTTGACAAGGTAATTGTATTTTAATGATTTTGGACCGGCGATCGCTGGTCCGGAGTGCAGGACTCCCGTGGTGGAGAGTGAAAACCAGTCTGTCAGCAGACAGCAGGGCAGGCAGCCAGGTGGTGTGACTCTTCTGCCCTCAGCTAAATGTCAGCTGCTTAGCTTATGCAGCGAGGACGTGACTGCTAGGGTTGAAACCTGGGGTTGAAGAGAGGTGCAGCCTGCTAAACAAGAGCAGAGGATGAGAGAGAGAGTAACAGGTATACTACGGTAAGAGCTAGTTTGAGTAGGAATACTGAATACCTGAATAGAGTTGTGTGTAGCGTTGAGTGTGCTAGCTCTTGACAGGACATTGCCACAGGTATAGGAAGCAGCCCAGGGAAGCAGGAGCTGGCGATCGCTGGTCCGGAGTGCAGGACCCCCGTGGTGGAGAGTGAAAACCAGTCTGTCAGCAGACAGCAGGGCAGGCAGCCAGGTGGTGTGACTCTTCTGCCCTCAGCTAAATGTCAGCTGCTTAGCTTATGCAGCGAGCTAAACACAAGAGGCCCACAGAGGAAAACTCCGGAGACGATAAAGAATGATTTTTTGGAGTTCTACTGTAGAAGCCCTATTTATTCTTTCTTTTCCTCTTTTTGTAAAACTGAAACAGAAATAAAGAACATGTTCATTTTAACATGTGATCTGAATACATTATACATAAATTGTCATTAGAAGTCACGACACACTAAGTTAAAATTGTACTAACAAAGGATAAAAGACCGGAAGCAAGATGGTTACAAATGCTAACAGAATGCTAACGTGGTGTTGCCACTACACACGGAGAGGAACAGGAAGTGTTAACATTAATGTAAAAACACTCAAACTACACACTGTATTAAAACGGCACAAGATAATGCTACATAGAGTAAACACAGCACCAGA